TCGAAATGGAAGTAAGCTTAACAATTATGAAACAAGAGATTCCTCGAAACCCAACTTTTCTTCGCATAAAATTAACTTAATCTTTTTGAATGTTCACATTCAGGTTTGCCTCATCTGCCCCCTAAATATGATATAGGAAAGGTCAAATTGCCTTGTAAGTCACATCTTCAATCGCAGCTGTGTGGCGTAGTGATAAAATATCAAATATATAGGCTAGGCTAGCCAATTTTTAAACTAGTTGGGGGTGATGATGAAACCCAGGTGGAGCAGAAACTTCTATCCAGAGTACCTTTTAAGAAGTAATAAGAAGAGAAGTTCTATTAAATTGTAAGGCCTATTTATATAATTAGGAAAATATTCAGCAACTAATCTTTTATTACCCTACGCTTGAAGATAAGTGCATTTGATGAAATATGAGGTTGTTTATTTGGAAATGTAGCCTACCATTGTTTTCACCTTCCAATCCAGAGTAATTATATTTTTTATTTTGGTCACTTATTTAAAAATTATATTTGACTCTCCTTTTCGTGTTGTTATGCCGTAAATGAGTCGTTTATATACACAGAAAATAATATTGCGTCTAGAAATGTCAAGTTAATCATGTAGTTTTCTGTTAAAATTTGAGCCAAACAAGATACCATTGCAAAATCTTGTGTTTAAATCCCTTGGTTGAACCACTTCAGTCATAATGACCAAGGCTGATATTGCGAATTTACTGTGTTCCTGCTCGTTTTGCTTTTAAAATTAGCTTCTAATTTAGATACTCACTAATTTTATTTATCTGATCCGATACTAACCACCACATTCATATCCTTATTTTCATGATCATATTTTACGTGACGAAAGGGATCATCATACATATATATATATATATATGTATATGTATATATATATATATGTATATATATACTTCAGTATGGCCTTTTTATCGAGAATGTTCGGAACTTCTTTCTGGATCAGGCTGCTACAAAGCTTTTTGCTAATGTGGTAATGCTTATGTGGGTGAGACCTGCAGACCCATCCAGAGGACAAAACCATTTGAAAATGTATATGGGTCCAAAGATCTGACATGATACTCATTAGACTTGTCCAAAACACAATGTTTTACTGATCGCGAGGACTTCACACCAAGGAGTATAATTAAGGAGTCTATGGAAATTAGCAAAACAGTCAATACCCTGAATAGGAAGAAAGAGTGTAGGAAATTGTGTAGGAACTATTTATGACAGTTTATGAGTTTGAAAAGAGGGTAAGAGAGAGAGGGAGAGCAGGAAGGACCACTGAGTAAGAGGAGATTGGATTAACCTCGAGTCTAGTTTGAGCTATCACACCTCTCATGACATGAACATTACACACACAAACTAGTTAATAGCACAAACCCATACATGAGTCAACATTGGACCCACTGGCGATTTCGTGGGTCTACAAGCCCGCATACAAACAGAACAAATCCTTCTCTACCACTTTAAAATCTTTTTTAATGTAATGTATAGATGGGCTGGCCAGTTCGTCGCCTGGTTGGTGGTTTGTAAGCGTTACCTTAAAACTGTCCAGCTGAGAAGATGTCTGTCAACTGACAGTCAAGAGCTTTCGCTGGAATCGAATGAAGAGGCCTTGCGGAGCCCAGCAGCCAGAACCTCTCTGTAAATTAAAATTGTATCAGAGCAAAACGAATTCGCCGCTTACTCTTTAGTGAACTCGACTTATTTATCCCTTCAAATCACACTATCCCCAAAACTATATTCAGCCTAGAACTGAACTAGGAAGCAAGGAATTTAAATTCCCAATCTAGCATTTTATTCGACTCAACCAATCTAGAATCCTTTTTGCCATAGGCAATACTAGCATTCGACGAGACGGATGCTCTGCTTCCAATGACAAATGGGGCCAATCACGATTGGCAAGTCTTATGAATTCTCTCCCAATTCTTAGTCTACATCCAGCGTCCCGACTTCCATACTCTCTCACAGTCATGCCGACCCTATTTGATAGTTTCTCGAGTTTCCGTTCTGATTTCCCGTCACACCAGATTAAATATTGTTGTTACACTACATGCTAACAAATCTGGGTTATCGCTGTTTCGTATCAATTTTCACAGCTGGAAAGATCACTGGCCATTAAATGTGTCGGGAACAAATTTTGGTAGTGCCTATACAATGGATTTACAATATATTATATTTTAATAATATACTTCAATAGCTTACCTTCACTGTAGGCGGAAATTTGACTGCTTGTCATTTGAGAAGTCGAGAAATTTGAGTTTAACAATTTCATAGTCCATTGGTATCTGCGGAAATCACATGCTGACCCCGTGCAAGATGCCTGCAGAATTATGTCACATGATCGAGTGACGGTGAACTCTGCGCCAGAAAAGGGACCATCACTTGCCACAAGGCAGCTAGCAGAGAATTTGCACCTGTACCAACAGAAATGCATATGCTGACAAATTATTTGGGATTTATTCATCCCGTTTCGTTTAAGGTGATGAGGGGACTGGTAGTTAAATTTTTCCTACAATGTTATGAGTAGACCTTATATTTCACAGAAGTGCTGTCCTAAAATATATTTTCGTCCAGGCAGGTGTTTATTCCAGTTTTGCTCTCCCCGAACTGGTCTCATCAGCACCCCAGCGGTACTCGAACCATGGGAGTGCAGCATGTAATCGGGAAATTTTAACCCCTCCGCCACATTTCCCCCTTGGGCAACAGGGCAGATATGAAAGCAAGGCTATGCGAAATAAAATGGAAACGTAAGGTCTACTCATAGCATTATGGTATAATATAATCTTAAATGAAATAGGAGGAATATATCTCATTTATCTGATCTACCGATAGTCTCGAAAGCTTGCTGATACACGAAAAGACAAGATTTCGATATAATAAAGTAAGCATGTCATCGAGAGAATGGGCAATGGCAGATTGCTGTGTTTTGTTGGTGACTATTAGAGTTTGGTATAGAACTCTCATAGC